CCGGCTACTCCCGGTGAAAGCCGGGAAAAAATTTCAATGCGGTCACACCTTTGTTGGATTTAACCCGGCACTCATGTAGAAAGTTAATTGGATGTGGCGCGCGACGGTTAATTAAGAATCTCCGTTCATAAACTGATGGCGGCGATTTGTTCGATAAGCATCAAGTTGAACGGTTTTGTTCCTGTTACTTCCTCTTTAGTTTTACCCAAAGTTAATCGAAGACTAAATACACCAAAATGATATTTGCGATTGATGATAAACTCACATACAATACAAATATCCAGAAATGTTTAAATTATAAGCGCACAGTATCGTCTATTATAATAAGAATAGTGAAAGATAGAAAAATTAAAGTTGAACTACTAAATATAGTCAATATATATAGGACAAATCACAAAAGCAAACTATATATGTATATAAGACAATCACAAAAGCAAACTATTTAAGATAGAATCTAAGAATAGATCTGTGAATGACAAAAAGAAAAGCGCACTAATAAAAAAAAGACATTTGCAGAATGTGCCGCTGGCACTCATCTACTGGCGAAAAATTTTTTCGTTTGGTTATCAGCTATTTTTTTTTTTATCAACTACTAGTTAGTTACTAACTACTAATTTTACTATCTACTTGGAAGTATAAAGGTACGAGAGGGACGTACGTTAAGGAACATGGATGAAGGACAAATGGAAGAATGTCGTGTTACTGTCCAGGTACACGTTGTTGCAGTCGATCGTCCAAAATCGTCCACCAAACACGCGGATCATCTACTGGCAGAAAATACAGCTGAAGCGACAGTAGGTATGAACAGCTATATGATGGTCGAGAAACGAGTGACAAGAAAAAAAGCGAGTAAGGTCGAATTGATACAAGATATCAGGAAAAGAGAAATGTGCCGCTATCTATCGAATGCATTTAAATAACCAGACGGGTTACTGCACGTCACGTCACAAGAAGACGGAGAACACGCTCTTTCCTCAGCCGGAAATCGAGATCGATAATTTCATCGAGAAAATATAAATTCCAATACGCGAAAGCAATTCTATGTTCATCCGCGACGGTTCATCATTCGATTTTCCCCGCGTTTGTGGTATCGAAAGTTGATCTGAATCGAAATTATCCTAATCTCCAGCCTTGAGCAAAAGAGATTCGCGATTTGAGATTTGTCGAAGGAAGGAAAACAGAGAGAATTCATCAGCTCCTAGATCACGCGAATCGCGAGTGTATCTGGACACAAACGACTGATTCGATGCAACTGGACAATGGTGAATGAAATAAATAAACGGTACACATAGCTTTGTAAAAATAATAAATTATTTGTATTTTGTAATCCAGAACGGACAATGTCTCTGTACAAATCTTGCTCTAGAGTAGAGAAACATCGTAAACAAACAACATATCTCTCGATTCGCGCGGAGCAATTGACATCGTCATCTGCTGTGCTTAATCTGGCAAGTGATAGGCAACTATCACTTAATAGAAATGCAATATAAAATATAAATCTATATATAATATAAAATACTTTTTAAAATTATATATATATATATATATATTTACACTAAAGGACATTGATGGGAGGTTTGACTCACCTGCCAGATTAAACATCTTATTGCTAATTCGACAGAACAGAGACAGGACGAGATCAATTTCTCGTCCTGCTTTTTTTTTTAATGTGGGCGATTTCGATGTCTCTTGATCTTAATATAAATGAGACTATATGATATTTCTAGATCTCTCTTTCTCTCTTTCTCTCTCATGCACGCGCATTCCCTTTCCGTTCTCTTCCTTCCTATTTTTCTCTCTTTCTTTTTTTATCACATTTTTTATCTCATTCGACTGATAACAAGATGGATCATGAATGTTGGTAAAAGAAAGGAAACACATGACGTGGGGTCACCAAACTAATGGATTTCAATGCTACTCCATGCAACACGAGGATTTAGAAGATATTAAAAGACGCATTCTAAAAAGTTTCTGAAAAATCTAAACGCCTAAAAGATTAGAGCATGTGTCTTAGATAAAATATATTAAAAAAATGTTTGAAAGGTCAGAGAGAAACTATAGGACTATAAAAAGACTAGACGTGTCAGTCTATGGTGCGGTGCGACGTGCGATGGAACTTTAAATAGAGATATTCCCGTTAATAAATATAATAAATAACTAATGCTTGAGACAATTTCAAGTGAAATGATTGTTTAGTGTACAAAACTGAAATAGCAGAAAATTTCTGCTCGCGCGAAATTTGTTAGCGCGGACTTTTTGTCATTCAACAACTTATTAAGAAAAAAAATTCCTCAATCCGATCGAGAAACTGTCACGTGGATATAGTGTAAAAAATTCCTTTTCGTTCTTCCTTTTTTCATCACAAACTAAAAAATATTGTGAATATTTACGTTAAAAGAAATTAATTAAGAAAGAATTAAAGAAATTGAAGAAAAATTATATACACATAAATTATACAAATAAATATTGTAAATTTATTTACCATTAAAATTATCTTGATACTAGAAATTTATTAAATTTCTAAACACATAAATAATAATTTTTACTAAATGTTTAATTTAAATCGACTTGAAAAATTAAAAAAAATATCAATTTACAATAAATATTAAAATTAATATTTATATTACTCATGATATATGCAAAATATAAAAAGATAACAAAATATAATTTTTAATTTTAAAAAACAATATGAAAACGGGAGGCAAGATCAATCAGTACATATAGTATATTCTCTTGCTTTTGTAGAGGTTGTGAATTTCGTTTTATTCACAATTCTGTTCTTAAAATTTCACAAATGCGCAGTCGTTACGTTTAAAAGAGATATAAAACATGTCTTCGAATGAGATATGAAAACAAAACGAGATGAATAAAATAAATTCCGTTCCACGAGCGAGCTTCGCAATCGGGCGTCATCCTAATAATCGACCTCATAAGACTAACATGAAAACGCTCGATGGAATCGACAGCTGACAAACAGCCAACAATGTGCAACGACTTTTACGAAACTTCCAAGAAACTTCCGTGCCAAGAGTCAAATGACTCGGCGGCAAAGACAACGCGTGAGGTTAAAGGATCACGTTGCACTTATCACCCGGCTTTCACAGTAACTCGGTCTAAACGCTCTTCAATGCGGAGGTGGAAGAAGAAGAAGAAGAAGAAGAAGAAGAAGAAGAAGAAGAAGAAGAAGAAGGAGAAGGAGAGGGTGAAGAAATGAAAGAGATCGATCGCACGATCGATTTGCCCGACTTGCGAGAGTGCTTGACGTTATGTTTCTTGGCCTTCTTGCCCTTGAACTCACGTGCGTGCCTAGCGTCGGCGATGTCGGCGATGTCATCCACGTCGTCGTCGTCATCATCGTCGTCATCATCATCATCATCGTCGTCGTCGTCGTCGTCGTCGTCATCATCGTCCGTGATGTCTAGATCTACATCATCGTCGTCGTCATCATCGTCATCGTCGTCGTCCTCGTCGCTGACCTGAGCAACCGCTGCAACGCTGGGAGAAGCTCCAACGGCCTGGATTGATATCGGATTCGAGACGGACTCGGCACCTTCGAACGTCGTCTCGTGAATGTTGGATGCAGCCTGATTCTCGGCAACGTCACCCGCCTCATCCTCGTAGCTGCCGGTATCGTCCTCGACCGTCTCACTCGACGCGGCATCCTCCGCAGCTTCCTCGCTGGCTTGATTCAAATCAGCCGCCACGGCGAGCGGCACCTGTGGCGAATTGACGGGGGTAGGTGGAGGTGTTACGGCGGATGCAACGGCAGGTGCCGGTGAAGCGACTTCATCCTCGTCGTCATCATCATCGTCTTCCTCTCCTGCAAGTTGACAGAAGTGCATTGTAGATAAAAATATATTTTTTTTATTAGCAATGATATTATTAGATCGAGCGAGATATATCAAGAATAATATTCTCTATCAAGAATAGTTTCCTCGAGTTAGTAAAAAATGCAATAGATGCTAAGAGAAAATGTACAACTTCATTAAAACATTGCAAATATACTACAAAGTGCAATTAATTTTATTATCTCTTATAAGTTCACGCATTCGTGATTTTAACGCACTCTGCATAAGAGACAGCCGGGGAATCGAGAGAACTCAGATTATCTTTTGGTATTCAGGTCAATGCGAAGAAGTAGCGCGTAGAAATTTTTTTTCAGAACCGAGATCGCTGTCGATTTATGTTAATTTGGACGAGTCAAAGTACCCTGTACCGTTACTACGCGCGAGCATATGTGAGCGAGAAAGAGAAATTCTCAGGCAATACGAAGCTTCGCGTTTACATAACGGTTTGTGTCAGTTTGCAAGATTTTCTATTGTCTGAGACTCGAAGAAAGGAAAGAATCGATTCATTGTTCAGCTCTCAGATATAAACAAGTTATTACAGTTTAGATGCGATTCATTGTTCACTACAGGAGAAATGAAGCTGTTTATAAATACATTAATGATAAGTAGATAATTGTACATTTAGGAAAATTTTACCAAACACTCATTTAGTATCAAGTTTCTGTTATCGTCCGTTATCTCTTCCTAGGTTCCGTTTTTTATGTATATAAAAACTGCTATTTGAATTTCAAGTTTATGTAACGGTAGGCTTGTTAATAAATATATTAATTAAGTAAGAATTAAGTACATCCAAATTAAGAATATCTATATTTGTGAATCTTTAACTTCCCACTTTGAATTTACTTCACTTCGTATTTATTTATCTTCAATCGTTCAAGCCATCAATCTACATCTTTTCGAGTGCATTCTTTACTTTTGTTAAGATTATTCAATTAGAAAAATATTACGGCTAATGTTGGAGAACAATGCAGTCATGATTCCTCACCTCCAAGTATATCTTCAATGAAACGCTCCAAATAATCGCCGTCATCTTCGTCGTCGTCGTCGTCATCATCATCGTCGTCATCATCGTCATCATCATCATCATCATCATCAGTGATATCTATATCGACGTCGTCGTCATCATCGTCGTCGTCGTCATCGTCATCATCGGTGGCGACTGGCGCCGCAGGCGCTTGCCTGCCGGTTGCAACAACATTCTGAGTCGACACCTTGCTGTCAGCAATCTTAGGCACCGGCGAGGCAAGTGCCCCTATCACCAGACAGCATAGCAACGTCAACACTGCTGCTAGTCTCATGGCTCTGCAAAAGGAAGTAGACATATGAAAGAAATAGAATTATTTATCACACACACATTTTTAGTGAATAGATGTTATTTATAAATATGATCATCTTTTTCAACATTTAGAATTGAAAATAACGTAAAATAAGAATTGCACGATGGATTTTCGTGCAAATAAAGTTTAAAAACTAAATGTTCATTCACAATGACATTTTTATTTACACACAAGATCACTTCTATCCAGCTTTTAAATACCCACAGATAGCTTTTTTTTAGAAACGACGATACTAGATGGAATTGATTAGATCCTATTTTCTCTTTTTCTTGTAATAATCCTTTTGTCTGTTTATTAAATAAATGCAAAAAGTGCGACCGATCTGGGACACCCTATTGCCTAGACGTTACTCGAAGTAACCGATAAATTGACAGGAGGACGTCGGCGATGATAATTCGCTCGTGTTACCCGTTACGGACAACACGTGCGACTTGTTAGAACGTTATTCTAGGCACGATAAGTGCGGGATACGGTAACCGAGCTATATACAAGTTAACCGTAAGGAATCGCTTTTTCTTCCTTAGAAGAGATACTTTTCGTGCCTAGACCGGCGATCAATCACACGGGTCGTTCAGTCGCGGGACAGACAGTTCCCATCAGTTCCCATAGTGGCTGCGTTCTATAAAGCGCATGATGCGCATAACGTATCATTTTATCCTTGTTGTTTCATCCTACGTCAAACGAGGATAATACATTATGCGCTTTATGGAACGCAGCCAGTATTTCACAGCATTCCTGTGCGTATGTTTTTAACTTTCGGAGCACGAGCATGCGAAACGTCGCGAAACGAGATCTACGAGCTGCATTGCAATAAACCGGATGTCTTGATTGTAAGGGAATAGTATTACGGATAGAATAACAACAATAGTCGATGACATCTTCGTGTATCTTTTTACAATTATTTCACGATCGAATATGGAGGGAAAGATTGGAATAAGGGAGAGATTGAAATAAGATAAACGTAAGTGAAAAATACTAAGATGCGCTTCGACAAAGAATACAAAGTTACGAACAATGCAGAAATCAATTCTTTACGAAATATTAACATAAAAGATTTATCTTATCGTGAATGATTTCTTTTCCTGAATGATCTTTTTTGCAAAAATTGTAAGACATTGATGTCAATAAAAATATATGTGAAGAGAATTTTTAAAAACTGTTACATAAAATAATAATTGGACTGGAAGTTGAGTGAATTTTTCCCCTTTTTAACAAACTATTAATAATAAATTAATAGTTGGAAGTAAATAAAAAATTAATAAGAAAATTGATCAAAAATACACCTTTAATTTCTACTAGAAATTCTTAAAATTCTTTTTCTATTAATTCTTTAACTGAAAATAATATAAATAAATAATCTTTCCATTATTTTCAGTTTTAGAAAGAGTAATCGAATAATTTTTTGTTACCTTTCATTAAAAAAAGGTAAAAAGTGCCTTACATTAGCTTCATACAGACTTCGCGAGCCGATAGCAACTGCGTCGGTACCCGGAAGTAACCCTGCGACGAGTTGGAATCAGAAGAGATTCAACCGGATGAGGAAGCAAGAACCAAGTTCACACGAATCCTTCGGACGCGAATACGTCACACGAAGAATACCGGGTACCTCACTGTATTAGCGTCGCACACAGTATCACTTAGCCCTCAGGGAAATGTTGCCTTCGATTAACTCGATCGAGCGGCGGGAGAACGAGGAAGAGGATGGGGCACCAACGCGGAGTCGGTCAAGGTCGTTCGAAGGTCCGGCTACCGGAAACCGTTCTCCATTCCGATTCAGTTCGACAACTTCTGAAGGGTGGTAAGCACTTTGTTCTCCACTTTGCTGTATCCAGTATCCCTTAGGAACTCACCTCTCTGTCTTTCTTCTTCTCTCTCTCTCTCTCTTTTTCTCTACTCTCCTTTTCTACGTCTTCTCGAGACGTATTTGTAGACGATTGACGATCGACGATGACACGCGTATACGTCCCGGTTCTTCCACCGATCGATCCACCGAGCGGCCCGGTGAGAGTGTTAAAACAGACGAGGCGGTCGCGATGCGACCCTTTTATACCGACCCGTACCTCCACCTCTTACACACTCCTTCGTCGTCCTCCTTCTCGTCGTCGTCGTGTTCTTCCTGCATTTATTCGCACCATACCTACCTACCTACCTACCTACCTATCTACCTACCTACCTACCTACCTACCTACCTTCTGTTTTCCACGTGGCCCGATCGAGCGTTTTCTCCCTTTCTGAGACGTCCGTGAGCAAATTGTATACATAAGTATTTTATATTAGTCAAAATCATTATAAATCTTATAGTTTCGCCATTCCTCTACAGAAGAAAAAGAAGAAGAGAGAGAGAGAGAGAAGAGAAATACACAGGAAGCTCTTACGTAAATTTTCTCTTATTATTAGCATATATGTGTTTCTCACTAACCCCCACTTTCCATAATATCCATTAATATGTATGTCTGATTTTATCCCATTTTTTATCATATAATTATTATTTCTCTCATTTTATAAGTCAAACTTTATTCTATATATTTTAAAATATATTCTATACACTTATACATCTAATTATTTTTTATAAATAATTTAATTAAGTCAATAAACATCACAGTAAATAAGTCTTACAATAAAGCTTGCATTACACTGAGAAAAGAAGTGTTTAATTTTAAGATATTAAAAGTTTTTTTTGTTCTTGTCTCCATTTTTTAAACACTTAAAGATATTTTAGTTTTAAACTTCTTCCATGAACAAAACACTGTGTTTGGATTTAAAATATTTAGGCCCATATTTTGAATGTTTTTTTTATCGATAAAGGTGCTTTTAAGCTTTATTGTAAGACTTATTTATCTGTGATATTTGATTTCTTTTTTTAGTGTAACTATGTTATCTTAGCGATAAAAAAGAGATACTCTTAAAAAAATTTTAATATCTTAATGTTTCAAAACTTTCAAACTTTTTAGAGTTTTTAGATTTATTAAAATTGTTTTTAAATTTTTTCTGGTTTTCAAGATTATGTGAGTGGGCGTTGTTCGAAATAAAATTCTGCGATAACTGTAATTGTATGAGAACATATTAAGAGAAAGAGTATCAAATGCTCTATCTTAAAACAGATCTGAGATAAATCAAGCTCGCATTAAAAGATCATTGTCACTCTCGCTCCTTCTGGCAAAATGTTTTAATACTTCATTTGATGACGCTGCTTATTTGATGTGCTACTTTCGTGATAAATAATGGATTACTTAGACCGACACTGGATGTTTCGTTCGATCTTGAAGCGGCTAATTAGCAGCAGTTGCTTCGCATATGGATGATTGGCGTTGTTTAATGCGAACGATCGCAAATATAAAATGATTATACTGATTAATTGAACAATCGTATTTTGTGTGTCGGACATATCCATTGAAAAGGACTTTCTTACGATGATTTGAATAAGTGTTCAATGTCAACTTGACAATCTAGAAATACAAGTGGAGTACTCTCTGTGGTGACTAGTCACAAAAATAAGATGAACAATTAACTTAAAGAGTGTTTATTGAAAAACGTTAAAATTTATATTTTTTTCAAGATAATGATATTTATAAAAAATATTAATTACATGATTACAACAATTTGTTTATTCTGTTTTGTTCAGATTTATATTGTTATAATTTATACTATACCTATTATCTCAATTAGTTACCTGTACTTTCTATGTCCCATAATTTTTTTGTATATAGCTTTGATATTTTATATGTATAAATGACATTTTGCAATTAATAAGATAAACTTCATATAAACTATAAATAAATTCATCCAACGATATAGAACAGAGAGCGAGAGTGTAGACTCGTAAACTCTTCTTTTCTTTGAGAAGATTTCATTTGCAGCCAAAGCTTTAATCAGTATATTTGATATTTGTGATCTATGTAATTCCAATATAAATTTTAGAAAGTAATCTAAAATTTAAATCTCTTAAAAAACTGAGACTATTAAATCATAAATTTATAACTATAAGGATCACGTCTGCTATATCTCGTAAAATGTCTGATCATCTATCCTTATCTTTTATTGTATTATACTCGCTGTAAAAAATTCTCAAATTTTTATAAATATTTTTTACAAATCTAGCGCGTAAATTTTAAATACAGAAATAGTGCTCGATCGATTTCCAACGATGTGTTTTTTGTTAATCGGACAATAATCAACATATTCAGACATATTATTAAAAAAAACCTTGATCCTGACTAACGTTAAGGACTAAAATGAGAATCACAGAAATGAAACGTTCGCCTCGAGAACGAGGAGCGAAAGCAACGCGCTCGATCATCATCGAACCGGTCGATCGTCTAACTGTAAATACCGAGCAACTTCTTCCTGCGGATGGCATAGTAGTAGCTACTGATGGATCGATCATATACCGCCAGCATCCGCTCTGTCTAATGCCCGAAGCGACGACGCTGGATTTTTATACGACACATACCCGTTTGTGGAACGCCGGACGATTTCACGCCTCGAGACAGTCGAGACTACTCCCGATGCTCTTTGTAGATCTAATACAGATGGTTTTTCTCGTTCTTGAAGTGTGTTTATCATATTATTTCGTCTGCCTCGATTGGAAAAATTCCAATAACTTTCAGAGATGGATATTTACAGAAAAAGAATTTTATCAGGATATACAGGAAAACCTATTCTTTTTCATTTGATTCTTCATTCGATAGTCTTTGTTAACCGAACGATATCTCATTTCTATTGTCATCATGATAAGTGATGAGAATCTATAAAAGTCAGATAATAATAGAGCGCGATTGCACTTGAACAACATAGATCGATCTACGAGACTAACAATGTAATGATGTCCGATAAACTCACAATCAGGTTAATAGTGATAGCATCGCACATCAATTAGCTGCAATAAGATTAATTTCAAGATCATTATGTTGTAACTATAACATTGTAATTGTTCTTTTCATAACATTTTTAAACTACTGCTGACATTTAAGCGATTTCAAAGTACAATCGCATGTATCGCACAATATTTATAATACATTTTTATTATTACACATTTATTAACCCTTAATCACGCGCGGTATATATTTCGAAATTTCTTTAAGTGGTTTTATATGATGTGTACTTTAATATATTATATCTTTGCTTTAAAAGTTAAAGTAATTAAACAATTTTTTTCATTTAGTAGATCAAAATCCAAAGAATGAGATTATTGTCATTCAAAATTATGTAGGTCATAAAATATTTGTTACATATAAACAATTTTTTATAACGTAATTGAAGAAAATGTTCGCATTTATTGGATCCATCAATATCGATTAAGATTAGCTACCATTTTTTTTAGTAAAAGGATATTGCGCGTTAAGAATTTTTACGTATTATCATCTATATTTAATCTAAATTGTACTTATATAAATATCTCACTCTGACAGTTATACAATTAAAATTTAGAGTAAATTCAAAGCCAGATGTTTATTGATATTTGAAAGTATTTACCTCCGAGTACAATTTTGATAATAAAAATCAAATTGACAACACATTTAATGGAAGATTTTTATTATTGTGAATTGATATCAAAAGAAAAAAAGATGCTCTGATCTGAATAATTTATTTCAAAATGTATATCAACACCCGGGAAAAAATGTTATACATACAGGGTATTTCACAACTACCGCATTTCCTCTTAAGAACGTATTCTTGAGATAATTTTGAAACGGAAATCTTAATACAAAAAATGTCGAGGCTACAATAGTTTTTGAATTATAATTGGTAAAAAATAGTGTGTGATTCGAAAACTATTATAGCCTCGATATTTTTGTATTAGGATTTTCGTCTCAGAATGTTCAAAAGAATCCAGAAATAATAATAGAAGCTATAAAAGTAAAATGGTTTTTGACTTATAAGCATTTAAAGTTAGCTTGTAATTCAAAAAATTATTGTAGTCCCGACATTTTCGTATTAAGATTTTCGTCTCAAAATTACCTCAAGAATATGTCCTTAAGAGGAAATGCGGTAGTTGTGAGACACCCTGTATATTTTATATATATGGGCGTATTTTATATATAATTATATATAAATGTATATAAAATGTCAATTTTTTATATAATTATAATTTTATATAATTTATATGAAACATTTTCCCCCGGCAACCATTTGAAATTAAAAAAAAAAATTATTAAGAGAGCTGATTTTTTTTTATTATTGTGCATATATCAAATGTATAAAGAGATAAAATTCTTCTGCACATTAACAAATTTTTGCCAAGGCGAAAGCGTATGTAAATCATCTAGCACGAAATCTGCCATCAAGATATTTCACAGATAGTAGTGGGCGCGTGAGCAACGACGTTAAGATCCGGTGCAAATTGCTCGTTCGCGTGGATCATCGAGCTCTCGGACTCGTCGACTCTCCATTCTGGCTGGAATATGGGATTTGGTGTCACAACGAGGCAGAGAAGTAGTCCGCGGCTACGTGAATTAGTAATCAGGATGTGTGTCTCGCGCGAGTGGCGAACGTATTTTCGTATACGCACGCCCGTAAAGAGGGGGCGGAGAACGGGGAAGTGAGACAAGTGAAAGAACGTGAGAAGAAAAAAAGAGAAAGAAAAGATAAAATAAAGAACGAAGTGACGGTACGATTCACACGCGCATTCCTCGCACTGTCGTCGTGCCGCAGGAACGCCATTCATTATTCATTGATTCGCGCGCAAGGATTGCAAACAGGTACCCGAATCGTTGTCCGAATTCTTTGATTGGAAAAATCGAATTTCTGCAGCCTGGTTATATACGTTAATTAAGAATTATCCCTGTATAATAAATAATAAATCAGTATATTTCCCTTGTATTTAAATAATTAACATGAGTTACATTTGTTCTTACAAATTTTATTGGAACAAGATCTGCAAACCACACAAGCTTCTTAAAATAGGTAATTCAAATACATTCATTCTAAAACCGTCGAATTTTACAGTTTATTAGTGCAGTGTAGTTTGCTCGCACTTTTGTTGTACATGAAAGGCTTAAGTAAGGCCTATATTGCTATTCACATTTTCAAAAATTTTGTCGGAATTTATTTTTTCATTATTTGTATAACATCCTCATCATGCATCACATGTTGTAGTCCTACTCGTTGAGGTGAATATTTCGTACTTGTACCCTAAAAAAAATAATACATGATATATATATATATATAGGGTGTTCGGAAATTGGCGCATCAGAATACCATAGCAAGATAGAGCGGACTAAACTGAGTCGAAAAGTCCTCTACCATTTTACAATTTTCGCAATAGTTAACGAGATATTAATTACTAAAAATCGCTGAATATTGGTCTTCAATAATTTTTTACTCAAATACTATCAACTTTACAGAAAAACAGTGAGAGACAAAAATTGTTTATTTTCTTCTCACAGAACTCTAAGAATTTTTTCAAAATTTTTTTATCATCTATTTAGTACTGCATTTTCTTATTTTTATCGACATGAGAATACGGTATTAAAAAATTCTGAAAAAATTCTCAGAACTTTATGAAAAGAAAATAAACAATTTTTGTCTCTCACTGTTTTTCTGTAAAGTTGATAGTATTTGAGTAAAAAATTATTGAAACAATAATAAAAAAATTATTGCTAAAATTGTAAAATGGTAGAGGACTTTTCGACTCAGTTTAGTTCGCTCTATCTTGTTATGATATTCTGATGCGCCAATTTCCGGTCACAATGTATATATATATATATATACACACGTATATTTAGAAAAAAAAAACTCCTAGATTATATTCTTAATTACATTGTTAATTATATCAAAATATAGTATATTGACGTACACACATAATTATGGATAATTAATAACTTACCCATACAAGGGCATATTTAAATTGTTGGGCAAGAGTACGGTGAATTGCATGACACACATGCTCTACTGTCACCCCTTTCCTTAATATTAAACCATCATCAAAATCAGGCGGTTGTCCAGGTTTTTTTGTGTATACCCTTATCAAACTTAAGTATTCCCATAGTATTTCCAGCAGAAAATCTAGATTCAACTTCATATTACAACTGAAACAAATAAAAATTATGAATTGTAAAAGATACTAAAAAAATACAAAGTGAAAAAAACGGAATATTTTTGAATGTTTTATATCTTACCTAACTACGACACTATTAGGTTGCCTAGCGATTCTATCGACTTCTTCTATCGATATTTGATCTATCTTATTATATACATAAAGGCATGGCAAGTATACTCGATTTGCATTGATAACATCAATCAATTCGTCTGCACTATAGTCCTCACGAAATAGTACCTCGGCATTGAAGATTTTATATTCATGTAGAATCATTTGAACTAATTTTTCATCTACTTTTGTCAAAGGACACGTTGAGTTAAAGGCTAAGCCACCACCTTTCTTCACTTTAAAATATATATTCGGTTTTTTCTTATTGAGTCTTATTCCAACGGATTCCAATTCTTTTTCTAACAACTGCCGTTGAACGTCCTGCTTGGTTGCATCTAACATCATAAGTACCAAATCTGCCGTTCTAGCGACAGAGATAACTTGCCTCCCTCGTCCTTTTCCCTATTTAAAACACAATTCAAAAAGATTATTTGACATAGTAATGTGAAAGCAATGATTTTGTAAAAGATAATTACGATAGTCTGTATAGTTTACCTGTGCCGCTCCTTCGATTATACCGGGTAAATCCAGCAATTGTATATTGGCACCTTTGTACTCTATAACACCAGGGATACATGTTAGGGTAGTAAATTCATAAGATGCAGCTTCTGATTGAGTGGCAGTCAAAGTACTGAGGAGGGTTGATTTGCCAACTGACGGGAAGCCAATTAACGCAACTCTGGCGTCGCCCGACTTCAGCACGTCGAAACCTTCGCCCTTCTCAGACTTTTTTGTCGGTTCTAAAAGCTGGGACCTATACTTGGCGAGTTTTGCTTTAAGCAAGCCCAGATGGTACTCGGTAGCTGCAATTGAATTTCACAAATGCAATTTTTTTGGGTTACATTTAATTAAACCTCTTATCTCTTCTTGTCTTTCATTTAGTTACATGTCACGATAATATTGAGAAACAAATCGGAAAGTTAGGTTAAGGGAAGCAACGTGACAATGTCGGCTCGACACTCACCTTTATTCTTCTGCGTGCGAGCAATCTCCTTCTCAATTTCTGAAATCTTTTCTAATATCCCCATCGCGATGTTAAAACTCGTTCACGATAGTATTTATTACATCTACTGGAGGAATCAACAAACAGCTTCGACCTGGCGCGTGCGGCGATAATAATTTCCAGTGACAACTGTGACAATTGAATTGACAGTGACAACAGCGCCGATCACCTGACTAAAATTTAAAGGGCGTTCAGAAACTTTAGTAAATAAGGCCCTGCGCACAATGGAGGAAATATTAGGAATTGGAATAAATATTAAGAGATTTGTCGCGTTTCAAGCTCCAACATGTTCCAATATGCTTTACCATAGCTCTTACTCACTTCAACGCGCTTGATAGAGTGAGTAGGAGCTATGATAGGAGCATGTTGGAGCATGTTGGAGTTTGCGATGCGAACAAACCTAAGGATTCAACCTATCAGAAACCGTGTATTCCGGTGTAACTGATATTTGGTAGGTTGAAATCATATAGCGTTTTCGAATCAGGGGATCCAAGCTGTCAATGGGTGCATTCAGCAGACTCAATAGTTGAGTGAGCGCCCGCTGCTATTGATGTATTCTTCTAGATCTAAAATTCTGATTGGATGAGCTAAAAGAATACACCAATAACAGCAAGCGCTCACTCAACTGTTGAGTCCGCTGAATGCGCTCATTGTTAAGATGGAAACACAATGGGCACAGGCAATAGGTACAGGCAACAGAGAATAACGACCCGTCCAATTAGAGCTCTGGAGTATAAGTTCGATATTATAACCCAGAGCTCTGATTGGACGGTTCGTTATTCCCTGTTCCTTGTGCCTGTGCCCATTGGGTACATTCAATATTACGACCGCTCACTGTTTGGTCTATATTTTTAGTTCTAACGGAATATGCCAATAAGATGCAAGCGCTCAGTGAGCGGTTGTAGTACTGAATGCACCCAATGGCTGCGTTCAGCAGAAAGTTTGTTTGCAACTGTTGGAAGTTTCCTTCACGCTAATTGGATCATACTTTTAGATCTAGAAGAATGGTCCTATCTCAGCAGACAATCATAAAACGGTTGCAAAACTGTTGTGTCTGCTGAACGCAGCCAATAAAAGCTAGCCCTCTGCCCAAATAATCATGAACTACAGAGCTGACTCGTGGCCGTAGCCGTACCGTGCTTGTCGAGGAGAGGTCGTTTCTCTCTTTCGTTACATTTATTTCTGGCAGAAATGTACGACGATTATAATGAGGTACACATCCACATTTGCTTATTTTTCATTTCATAACGTCGAAATCTCAGCGTATTCTCAATTCTAGCTTTTATTCGTGTTCAATCTAATTTAATGTACACGTATTTCTCTTCAGTATGACGCCTACGACGACTACGGGCCGCAAGACGCGCACGATCAGTACGATCGACCAAGCTACCGGCAAGTGCCCGAAGTGGTGCGCAATTTCTTGGTATTTCTGCGCAATTGCATCAACGAGGGCATGATTTTCGAGATCCAGAACTTGTATGAGAACTCCTTCCCTAAGATCTCCGAGCAGCTATTCGATAAGTCGCCATGGCCGGACGCCTCGACGATTGCCCACATTGTTGACAATGATGCAGTATTTCTCACTCTCTACAAGGAGCTTTACTATCGTCACATATATGCGCGCATGCAGGGCCCTACACTGGAGCAGCGTCTTAACTCCTTCTACAATTACTGCGATCTTTTCAATTATATTCTGCATCCTGACACTCCAGTGCAACTGGAACTGCCCGATCAATGGCTGTGGGAGCTCATTGACGAATTCGTCTACCAGTTTCAGTCTTTCGCTCAGTATCGTGCCAATCTGTCCAATAAGACGCCAGATGAGATCGAGAATCTGAATGCACATAATAAAATCTGGGATGTTCTATGTGTATTAAATGTTCTGCATTATCTAGTTGACAAGTCAAAGATAAAGAGTCAGTTGGAAGTATATGCAAGCGGTGGTGATCCAGATTCTGTAGCTGGTGCCTTTGGCAGACATTCTTTGTACAAGATGCTTGGCTACTTTTCGCTCGTCGGTCTTCTGAGACTGCATTCTCTATTAGGTGATTATTATCAGGCTATCAAGGTCTTGGAAAATGTAGAGCTTTACAAGAAAAGTGCATATTCCCACGTACCTGGCTGTCAGATTTCGACTGCATACTATGTAGGTTTTGCATACATGATGATGCGCCGTTATGCAGATGCAATCAGAACGTTCTCTGGTATTCTGTTGTACATTCAACGTACAAAGCAATTGTTTGCCACCCGTAGCTACCAGAATGATCAGATCAACAAACAAACTGAACAGATGTATCATCTGCTCGCCATATGTCTGGTTCTACATCCACAGTGTATAGATGAAGGTCTGCAGCAGGCTCTGCGGGATAAGAACTATCACGAAAAAATGTACAAGATGCAATATGGCGATCTTACTGAATTTGAAAATTGTTTTGTATTTGCATGTCCCAAATTTCTATCCCTTACACCACCGAATCCAGATAATCCTAATGAAGATTATGTTCGTGAAGCCATCAAACATCAAACCCAAGTATTCATGGATGAAGTGGTCCAACAAAAGATGTTGCCAACCATTCGTTCGTACTTGAAACTCTATACGACATTGCCGCTAAGTAAATTGGCCACATTTATGGGAAACAATACTAGATCCGATATTGAGGGTTGGGATCTTGACAAGGAAGTTAATGCATTAACGATTCATTTACTATGCTTCAAGCACAAGATGAAAAATATTGTTTGGACAAAAGGCACATCAGGGCTAGACGGAAAATTCCAATCTGGTTCTGAGGTAATTATTTTATTTGTATTATTACTATATATTTTATGCTTTTTTTTTTTCAACAACTCATTTTCTCTGTAAATAAAATGTATAATAAAAATTATATTTTGAAGAAATTTGATTTTTGCTTGATACAGGATAAAATAATTAACTTATATTTAATTTATTCTCTATCGTTACCATTTAAATTGATGAAATTATAAATAAATTAAAAATAGATGCATATTAAAATATTCACGAAAATCGTTTTTTTTTCTTTCAGTTGGATTTCTATATCGATCATGACATGATTCACATCGCTGATACGAAGGTAGCACATCGTTATGGAGACTTCTTTATTCGCAAAATATTAAAGTTTGAAGAATTGAATCGCAAATTGCATCATATAAAAATCTAACTGTATATTATTATGCAATTATTAAACATCTTGACAGTACGTTCACAAAAGAGGAATAAAATTTTTAAAAATAAATATTTATTTCTATTAAACACATGTCGTTGATATTCCAGAGACCATTACAATAAAGTGTACATATAATTTGTGTTTGGCAATATGTGCAATGTACAAAAATCTACATTGATCTTCAGTGTTTTATGATTTTTTATATACAGAGTAGGGCAAATTTAATCGTTTTTAGTGCTAAACATGCGATAAAAATATAATATACTTGTGAAAGATCAACTTTTGCGAATGCATACATTTCCTTTGTCACTATAGTTATTTTTAATGTAACTTTTTACAGATGTCAATATACCTGTATATTTCTGAAATTTAATAAACTTAATTATATATACTAAAGAGGAAGAAAAATCATCGCAAGGAAAATAGCTTTTATATCCAACGAGCAACAAAATGCGTTAAGATATTATATACACATAATTTTGTAATTAAACATAAATAACATATCAAAACTCTGAAATATCGATAAATCAATTGCAAAATCGTTGTATATAAAAATATATATAGGTTTCTCTGAGTATCAGTCAATAATGATGTTTTCTGTACTCATGGATGCAGTTTTATTTGCTCCCTCTTGTAACATTCTACATGCAGCAGCCAAGATATTTGGTTTCATCGACGCGCTCGGCAATTTTAGACTGTGCAGATAATGGAAAAATCGATTGCCTCTTTTGTAATTTGTACTCGAGCGAGATTCTTCTGCGCGGCATATCGTTCGCGCGGTCGGAAGATAATCTAACGCCATGATTCGTCGATCTAAACACGTAGATGTGACATATGATAGTGCTAGATCCACTCCTTGTTTTAACTGCTTCCTCAGAATAATGTTACTTTGATTTTGCACATGCTCATTTGCATCAAAGTTTTTATATAGTATTTGGTTGTTTATAAAATTCGCTATATCCGCGTTCAAATCGTGCAAGGCAGAATAGAAAGACATGTTTTCAGCTAAGGATAAATTAGGTTGCGTTTTCTCCTCTGACATGTCTAATGTCGTATCTTCGACATCAATTAAAGATGACATTAGAGATAAACTGTCCAAATCCTCCGCTAAATTGTTCAATATATATGTATCATTAGAAATTTTCGTAGTTTTCTTTGTCTTGTGCTTTTTGTTTAGCTTGATCGCAGGTTTGTACAAATAGCGTTGCATGTCCTGCCAAACCAAGGACTTCACAATCATTGATTGTTTTGATAACATCGGTAGACCTGACAATAATAAATATTGCAACTGGAGTAATGCCTGTCTTAAGTCGCCCTCTTGCAGTAATTTCTAAACAATGAAATAAATTCATTATTAAATTAATAATAAAAGAGTATGGAAGGTTGTATGATATGCGCAACTTCAATAGAATATTTGAATTTTATGATTTTTACATATTATTTCCAAATTTCTTTTCATAAAATTTTTCTTTAGAATAAATTTTATATTATAATTTAAAGATCACTTACTCTTAAGCAATTATGCGGAATCCTATAACCTGTCTCTGCCAGCGCAATTAATTCTAGCAAAGTAGACGCTCTGTTACCACTCACTTTATGAAAGTAAACTTTATTTTGTTGCGGTGCCATTTTGTTCAAATGAGGACATGTGTTCCTACATGTCATAACAATTGGTCGTTTGGTATTCGATGCTAATTGATACGCGGCAGAAACGAATCCTTCATCCTCTTCAAAAACAAGATCAATATCTTCCAGAAGAATTAGCGAATTTTGCGATATCTTCGAGATTTCGTCTTCATTCGTGATTTGTTCGAACAGAGATTTATGTTTACTTTTTTTAATTCTATGCGACTTCGTGGCTTCCTCTAATTCTTTTAAGATTCTCTTTCCAGTCCGTTTGGAAGATGCATTTACTTCGATTACACTGTAAAAGCAAAACTTTAATTTACTTTGAATAAGAAATAACGTGTCTGAATTTATTTTAATATAATTTAAAAATTTTGTATATATTTTCTTGGAGAATCAAGATTACCAACCTATAACCAAGTTCCTCCGCTATCACATACACGCTTGCGCTTTTTCCACTGCCATGCGGCCCTAATAAGACAGCAATTTGATTATTTTCAATGTTGGACGAGGAACTGCAATCTGAGGAATAAAACTCATCACCACTGCTGTCATCATTCTCCTTTGTTAAAGAAGCCCTCCAGCCACTCAACCAATTCTTTAGCTTATTCGCACCTTCTTCATTTCCAACTATCTCTTGCGCGCTCATCGGTTTATATTTGTACGTCCATGCGCAATTGTGCGATTGCTTTTCCTCTTTCTCAACATTCTCTGTTAACATTCTCTTCCGTTCATGCGTTTTTCTACCTTTTGGAGATGGTGAATTCTTTTCCAAATCCCCCTTAATTGTTGATATAGTCTCCCACATTCTCCTAACACCTGGATAAAGCTTCTCGATTTCTGATAACACTTGCTCTACATTTGCTTTCACGGGTCCTTTAATCGTTTTAATCGTTTTTGATGCTTCCCTACAATTAGTAATATATTTATAATTACTAATATCTATCGAAGGTAAATATTTTTTCTCGAAAATCTTCATCGAAAATTTGTGTTCTATTTCGGATCTGATCGAGTTCAACTCATCTTCTAATTGTGTAATATGACTGATAGCAGGAAATGGTAACACAGATATGCCATTATTTATTTTATAGTCTGTATTTTTGTTCTCTACGTTGATTATATCCGATTGTAGGAATAAACGTTTCGCTGCTGTGACTGCTGGATCTATTTTACGTCGTTTGATAAATAAAGGTGCCAGTTTTTCATTCGGTTTTCTCTTCAGAATGTTCTCATTGCTGATCTCGTATTCGGAATCATCAGTTGCTGTAACCATTTCATTCATGTCATTAATCTTCTGTTCTTTTTTATTAGCTCTGTTTGATTTTTTAAAATCAGTATCTCCATTAGGAGCATCTTTGACAATGTTTGAAATGTTACTATCTTTTACAATTAATTCTTTTCTTTCCTTGTTTCGCTCTTTCATTTTAACATGTCGATTGTGATTCTTCATATAGACTTCATTATCTATATTTATAGACTTTCCAGATTTACTCGAAGCATTAAACTTTGATTTGCTTCTTGGTGAAAACAATTCGTCATCGGTATCTGCAAGTAAAATTATAAATGCTTTTTTTACAGTGTTATTAAAGCTAGATACTTATTTAAAAGAGTATTAAAATCAGCGATCAAAGTGTGAAAAAACAATCATTGCCATCAACCAATGAACATTGGGAGACTCAATTACATTTTACATCATATATATGTATGTATGTGTGTGTAAGAAATATACATATGTATAATTGTAATTGTACCGTTACTATATAATGAATCGTTATCTTCAGAAGTATGCAATTTTATGCGTAAGGACCAACGAGGTTTTTCTCGTTTCTGCTTATCTTGTTTGACTGTCTGTAGAGAAAATAAATTTTCAGACTCTATGACGTGAATATCATCCATTGCAGAAAGATCTAATTCTGATGACTTTGGACATTTCTTATTAGAATATTTCTTATTTGATTTCGGCTTCTTCATAGGTTCAATATCAGAGTTATCAGTCCTATGTACGTCTGCTTTTACAGTAAAAGTAGACACACATTTTTCATCCTTACTTGTCAATCCCAAGGGCGATTTGCTGCATAAAAATATCAGTAGTGTAATTTAACAATTCAATATAAGAGTTACAATATTATATACATATAATTATACAGATGAATATAAATTTAGATAGTACCTAAAATAATCTAACAAGTTTCCAGATTGCTTGTTAGTTTTTATCGATAATTCAAAGCTGTCCTTATCCTTTTTATGTATGTTGCTTTTACTCTCGCCCTTGAAGAACCTTATACGATTTTCAATATTCTTTTCTATTTTCTCACCCTCTTCCATTTCAGCTATTTTTTTTGTTGAATATCCTTTTTTATCAGCCAAAGCTATAAGCTTCTCTTTGCACCTAGATCTGAATTCTTTTGCATCCAATTTCTTTTTATTCTCACTGTCTTCTATGGGTTGCTGTAGTGGTGATTTATATTGTATTGGTTTACTATGACTCATCAGAACCTGAAAAGCATTTGATTCTTCCCGTTGAGAACCAATTTCATCATGAAATTCTATATTTAATTCAATCTTATCTTTAGAATTAACACTGTTGCTAAGAGAACTATCTAAATTCATAACAATTTGATTATTTAATTCTTGTTCTTGTGAGATATTCCTTTCTTCAGACTGATTTTCATTTATTTCCACAGTGGATTTTGAAAGCTTAAAAATAAAAAAAATCCAATTATAGAGATTAATCAATAAATTAACATCAACTGTAATTCTTATTAGAATGAAAAATACCTTCTTAAGACGACGCTTTACACCTGACTCGGTTAAACTTGATTTTGGTGTCCCATCTTGCAAAGTTCTTTGACCATTGTTTATCTCATCGTTGAACGGACTGGGTGTTTTGTCGATTAGATCATTCTTGTTCTCAATTATGCACATTCTGCTTGAAGAACCATTGCTTGATATCCGGATCTTCACACGTTTGCGTTTACATGTCGCAATAATATCTTCTTGTTCTTGATCCTCTTTTACATTGCTTAGATCAGTATCGGTCTCCTTATCGACGATATTCTTGCCATTGGCAAAGTATTGCTTGATGTCTTTCATACTTTAACATCAATATCCTTTTTTTGTTTTATTTGTAATCTCTCGATCAGTTAGGAACGTAGTACATCGCTTTTCCCTTCTTCGATTTCCTCAAAATTTCTCGAAAAGCAATGGAAATATTCCAATAATGAAAAACTAATAGATGTTGAGAACGAAATAATCTGGTATGCACATCAGTGATGAACGTATCAAGTGTACACAGTGTCGAAGTCTTCTTCGTTAATAATAAACGACTAAACTCGTGAATATCACTTTCGCGTTGCAATTTCGAGTAAAATATATAAAATGTTTATATTGCTCGCCTTTGGGTCATACAACATAATACGATAGCATCGATGGCATGTTCGCTCGATGATCACGACTTCCCGCCTTTTTAACATGTGCCTATAATCATAGTTAAGCCTTATATTTAAGGCTTCCTTAAATTTATCTTTAGATACTTTACTAATTATTTCATTGGCTACTGAGCATCTAAAGATAAATTTAAGAAAGCCTTAAGTACAAGATCTGACTATAAATACGGGTAATAGCTTTTGAAAGCTCTTTTTAAGACCGGAATCCATAGTCCACCCATAGGGTGCCTTTCCATGGAGAAAGAAACAACGGAACGGATTATTGGCTGCGTTCAGCAGAACGTTTGTTTTGCAACTGTTGGAAGTTTCCTTAGCGCTAATTGGATCATACTTTTAGATCTAGAAGAATGGTCCTATCTCAGTAGACAATCATAAAACGGTTGCAAAACTGTTGAGTCTGCTGAACGCAGCCATTGACAGAAAAGAGATAGGATGAGGGTTATTAAAGTACCTATAATAGTACCTATTAGGCCTGTTCTTTTTGGCTGAACTTTTGCACCAGTTCATCTTTCTTCCTTTTCTCTCCAGAAGGAAAGAGGAGGAAGAAAGACGAACTGGTGCAAAAGTTCAACCAAAAAGAACAGGCCTATTATCTACTCTAAAGCCTTGTGTCCACGATGCTAGAAATTGGTCCGAGATCTCGGAGAGAGAAAGAATTAACCAATCACATTTAAACAATTTAATCACATGATCATTGCGATTGGTCAATTCTTTCTTCATCCGAGATCTCGGACGGATTTCTAGCATCGTGGACACTGGGCTTAATAATAGGTCTGTTCGCTTTTTGCACTCAGAGCATCTTCGCTTTCTCTCTTTTCACCGTCCAAATATATATCTATCTCATTTTAGGTGCAAAAATATTTAAGGATTTCAAGCAACGCGAACAGACCTACTGAATGCACCCATGTTAGGCCGGAATCAGACTAGGCATTAAAGATTGAGATTGAAAATTGAAAGATTGAAATTTGACCAATCAAAACAATAGGAGCTAAAATTCCTTTGCCCTCATTGGTCAAATTTCAATCTTCACTCTTCAATCTCAATCTTTAATGCGTAGTCTGATTCCAGCCTTACGGCTATTATAGAAGAGTTCTGAAGAACCACTCGACCGCGGCGGACGCGTTTCGGATCGGGTGCTGACAATCAAATATTTTTGAAAGTGTTGCCGACTTTGACTGTGCTATCGCTTCCTCCTGATGCGTGTCCGCGAGTTGGCTCGTCTCGTGCGTTCGTCCGGACGCGCGTTATTTCGACGTGACGACGTTGTAGACGTAGACGCCCGGTGTTCGTTCGGGCAACGCCATTTTCGCGGGCATTGCGTCACTTTTTGATACTGTAATCCATTAAGGCGTCGTCTACAATATGCGAAATAAGTTTGTTTTAAGAAGTAAGAGTAAGAAATTGACCAATCACAGTCGTTTATTCTTTTCACAATCGACTGTGATTGGTCAATTTCTTACTCTTACTTAAACCACGCTTACTACGTGTATTGTAGACGGGTCTTAAGACTGTAATTCATTAAGATGAGATCTGGCCGTGTTGCCTCCGTATACTCCTAAGCGAGGGAGGCAGGAGCCATAATTAATTAAGAAGAAAAAGGCTATTATAGAACAGACATAAAGGTGTAAACATACTGTTGTTGATGTAAGTAGCAAAAGTAGGCGCCAAAGTAAACACAGAGAAGCCAAAATTTTTCTTTTTCATCTACAATATTAGTTACTGCATACTTATTAAAATCATAAATTTATAGATGTATAAAGTATCTGTATAGTAGTATAAAAGTATATAACCTAGAGTCCTTTTTAACCTTAAATGTTTATAAATTCTAACAATGAAATATTTGATCGTCTGTTGACTAACATTTTAATATAGCTTTTTTTAATATGGAAAAAATATTCACTTTTTGTCCACAATAAATTAATATATGTTTGTAGGTTTCAATATCACTATATAAAATGGGGCGATGTGTGGCGTGTGGTGCGAGATCTTCATTGTCAAATAAAATAAAAACTTGTTCATTTCCAAAAAACGAAGAAAGGAGAAACAGTTGGATTAGAGCATTCAACAAACCAAATTGGATGCCAACAAATAACTCAGTTCTTTGTGAGGTAAATTATTTGTTATTATTTTCATTGCATTTTATTGATTATATTATATATATTGATATTGCGTCAAGTATGATTAATATTAAAACTATTAATTGATAATGCACAATACAATGCTTATTTATTAATTTCAGAAACACTTCAGTCCAGAAATGTGGGAGAAGGTACGCGTGGATGGAAAAAAAAAATTAAAAGCAAATGCGATACCAACATTATTTGGAAGACCGAATGTCTATGGAACTGCGGATTTTGGTGAAATAATGATCGAAGTGCAGAATGCAGTTTCCAATAATCAGGAGGTACCTACTGGTAAGTATTTGTATTGGGTCAGAGGAAAAGTTCTGTGGATTTTTGTTAGTTCGAATTATATATACGATATCTTCGTTAAAAATGATAAAAATTTAAATTTAAGAAAAGAGTTTTAAAGCTTGAAATCTCTACTTTCGAAAAGAAAGAAAAGAAAGAAAGAAAAAAGTGTTGCAACCTTTTAGGCCCTGAGTGTACATATATAAATTAAAGATATTGATTTTTATTTATCTAAAATAAATTGTTAAACATAATATAAGAAATATTAAATTGAAATTTTTTAGTATAGAAAAAATAGTCAACAATCAAAATATATCTTATTCTACGTAGGTAGTGTATTTATTGAAACTTCTCAGTTTGTCTGTATGAATTATAAATCAACAATATAGTGTATCGATAACAATTTTTCTATCAGTTTTACGAGCTCCTTGGATTTTTTGTTTTTCAGAACTTGATGTAATTACCAACGGGCAAGGACAAATAAATGTTTTGAGACCAAATGATGTGGATGTATCTGTGGAGAAGGGACGTACAATCGAAGCAGTCGAAGATATTCTACAGGACATTAGCGGCAATGAAGTCGTCGTAGAAGAACGAAGTTTTTTGAAGCTGCAATCGGATCGCAACGATAATAACGCTTCAGAAAATGCTTCGTGCGAAGAACAACTGCGGAAAACGATGAAGAAACTTAAACGTATGACAAAGATGTACCAGAGAAGTGAAAACTTGCGGAAACGAATGAAAGCCGAACACATGAAGATAAGGAAACAGCTTCAAAAAAAGATATATTTATTATCGGTAAATGCTAAAATCTCTGTTGCGGGATTCTCTAAACGTTTGATTGTCAATTGTCGCTATCGTTGAACCGATGTAATGCGTACCGATTTACTAACAGAAGGATCAAATTTATTGCTAGCGACTATGCTTATTTCATTAAGAACTATAACGCAATTTTTATGAATATATCGGTTTCAAATTGAGAATATTTTATGCGTAAAAAATAAAAAATTTCATCGGAAATCCCGCTTATAAATTTCCACAACTCTAAGAGACTCTAATTTTTTCGTCAAAGTTCTTAAGAACTTAGAGTTGTGGAAATTTATAAGCGGGATTTCCGATGAAATTTTTTATTTTTTACGCATAAAATATTCTCAATTTGAAACCGATATATTCATAAAAATTGCGTTATAGTTCTTAATGAAATAAGCATAGTCGCTAGCAATAAATTTGATCCTTTTGTCAGTAAATCGGTACGCATTACATTGGTTTAGTGTTCATGCTTGCCGGTATTGCTCATTGTTGGAAGCAAGTGATTGCATATTATTATACCGGGAATAAAGTTGATGATTCTATTTTTGCACTATTATTTTGAAGATCGTGAAAAGAGCAGAAGAGATCGATTTGCATGTGCATGGAGTAATATCGGACATGGGATCGGCTAATCGGGCAATGTGAAAAGCTTTCGACGTGAACGCAGGCAGATTTTCAACGATACGCAATTCTTGCACATCCGTTTGATGAAAAAAGAGAGCTATTCTTCTTCCACGATACTCCACATGCTTTAAAAAATTTAAAGGAAAGTCTTCTTGACAATGTCTCTTTTACAATTCCTCCATTATTTGTTGAAAAATATGCATTGCCATCGACCAAAGTTTGCACGAATCATTTTTCAAAATTAATTTTTGAACAAGAGACCTTCCTGTTTAAGCCAGCACACAAATTACAAGGAGAATTGTTGGATAAAAAAAGGCATTTTATGAAAATGTGCGTTAACAATGCGACCAATGTAATGAGCCATGATGTCAGCTTCGCACTTGAACTATTAGCGGATAAAATCGATGCGCCAAAGCTGAAAACAATCTCTTGGTTTGTTGGAATCATTGTGAAGTGGTTCCAGATTATGACAAATCGAGAAGTTTATTTAGCTCTGGAAAATTTACGCTCAGAAAAGTATGTAGAAGTGATCAATTTTTTATGGGAAATTGTAGAGTTGCTTTCCTCATTAAAAGTCGGCGAGACAGGGAATTGGAAACCATTCCAAACGGGCGTGATTATTTCAACAGTATCAACTATTGAAGTTACTGCCTATTTACTTCAAGAGCGGGATTCCGATTTTGTCCTATTGGATAGATTCACATGCAGGATTGTACCGAGAATTTGTTCAGTGCATTGCGCAGCAAGAATTGCACGATCGATGCTCTACAATTTAAATACCATCTAAAAATGATTACAGTTTCTCATGAAACTCAGTACCAATCGGAAGCTACGATCAAGACGATAGGGAATATTTACCGGATTTTTTAAGCGTTCTGTGCAATCGGGATGTTGTAATATGCTCTCGTCAGTCACAGTTACAGCTGAAATAAATAATAATGTACCTGAAACCGCGAAAACTGCAATAGTTTTGAAGAAACTGGAACTTTACAGTTTCTATAACTGTGGCTGCTTACATTATTACAAGTATTTCAAAGAATCATTTGACGTGTGAAAAGTGCTTGGGTTTATCGGCTCAAAGATTGAAAAATCTCTTGCGTAAATTGTCAAGTGCTACACATAAAATACATTATTTTTCGTTAATTAAGCTACCGTCGAGTTCTTTTTAGCAATAGAGAAAAAAATTCGAGCGAAACACTTCAATTGCAGCAGACGTAAATTTAAAAGCTTTTTTGTAACAAGTGTTTAATTAATATTCCGTACGACCTGCCACCGTGTCATAATTTGAAAAGTAAAATTATTTTGCATTTTGTAGCCTTCCGTCTGAAAATCTCTTCTAAATCACGTTGACAAAAGGTCGACTCAAAGCAGTAAAAGTATGGCGATGCACTGCAATATAAAATAATTTTTTCTACATTTATTATTTTTATATTTATTAACTACATTTTATATTGAGACATTTAAACTATAAATAATGTCCGCTTCCTCTCATTTATTGTAAAGTATTGCACGTAATTTACTGTTTGCATTAATGCACTAATCTAGTCTTTGCATTCAATAGTTTGTTATTTATTACATTTAAGTTTGTTAAAAATATACGAATCTTTCTATTCTTTGCACTCGACTTTCTATGATTTAACTGTGATACTGCGTTTAAGTTTGTTACGGATGTATTAATCCTTTTATTTGCACTCGATTGCCTGAGATTTACGTTATTCCAGTTTGCTATAATAAAATAAAAGTTTATTAATTATCAATTTTACACCTATAATTGATTTTATTCAAATTTCCAATATATGAAAATTTACTTACTATTATTTGTATTTGATTACTTGTGCTTTACTACATTTCATACTGTAATAAATAACTACCCATAAGAGGCATGGTATAGACATTTGTTATTTGATTTTACACGAGAAGCTATAGTGTAATTTAGAAGAAATAGGCACAACAGAGAAGCGTATCAGCGTTAGGGTTGTGTGGCTCAGTGGTAGGACAGAAGTCTACCATTACTTACGGATGAGACCTGCAGTAGAATTCTGTAACTCGTTATGCAATCGTTATGTGTTCATAACGGCAGTTGAGCAGATATTTTATATAGTAAAAAAGCTGCGCAACTGTCATTATGAACTCATAACGACTGCATAACAAGTTTTGTTAGCGTTATAATATCGTTGCACAGCTTTTTTTTCATGGTAAAAGAGTTGCGCAACGATGTTATAACGATAACGAAACTTGCATTAAGAGTTACAGAATAGCCCTGCAAGTCTCAATTTGAATCTCGCTCTGACATTTTTCTCGTGTTGTCGCTTATTTCTTACAATAGAAAGAATTGTGAAAGAGCAGTTAGAAAAAAGATTATTAAAGCTTCGCTCTAATGCGAAGTTCAACAGCTTTATTATTTATAATTTTATATGGATTAATTTCAATTAAGGCCATGTGTTTGTATATTACTGCCAGTTGACTGTCAATACTGAAAGTTTATAGTTTTCATTACGTATACTATACTGTACTAACAACTGACAGTAATATACGAACACGGCCTAAATTACAATACTTATATATTTATCTTCTTATTTTCCTTATTTCGTAAGATCTATTCATTTTAGTTGCACTAATTTGCAGATCTGTGCATTTTCTTCCGTAAAAAGAGAAGCAAAAAGATTAACCGTCAGCGACAGGACCAAATAAATAATTTGTCTTCACTGCAAAAGTGAAGATATAGGCGTGATTAATGATTTTTTAATATAAAAAATGATTAATGATTTTTTAATTAAAAAAATCATTAATCAAAGGTTTAAAAATTTTAAACCTTTGATTATCCATGGTGGAATGATTCCACCATGTGATCCACGATCCTTATTGGTTCTCCGCGCAAATCAGCTGTTTTGTCGTTCCATTCTCATTCGAGATGTTGATGCTCGTTTTCCTGCTATTCCTGATTCTTTTCGTTGTGCGTAAATTCTACCTGAACAAATTCAAATCCGGCAATAATGTTTGCGTGCTGGTACTTGGTGACATTGGCAGAAGTCCGCGAATGCAATATCATGCGATTTCCTTCGCCCGGGAAGGTTTCACCGTGGATATTGTAGGTTATCCCGGCTCGCCACCGATGAAGGAGATCAACGAAGATGCGCGCGTGCAGGTCCATTATCTGCGACCGCCTCCTGAGTTGCGAAATAGTACGAATTGGATATTGTTATTGTCATCTTTTTACAGATTTCCTCGTGATACTTTTAATATAATTTACGTCCTGATCTGTTTTTGTACATTTTTGTATTTGTTTATAGATTTCGATAATAATTGCATTCCTGTTATTATTTTAGAATTGCCACGTCTTTTTTGTTACATAATAAAAGTGATATGGCAAACTGCTGATCTCTTATGGTTGTTATTTCGTAAACGCCTATCAGATTCAGTAATAACGCAGAATCCACCTGCAATACCAACCATTCCAATATGCTGGTTTTATTGTGTTCTAACAGAGGCACAATTTACGATTGATTGGCATAATTATGCCCATTCAATCATGGCATTGAGCCTGGGAGAAAACCATATCTTAGTTAGATTATCAAAAAATATCGAGACAATGTTTGGTTGCAGAGCAAAGAATAATTTCTGTGTCAGCAAAGCAATGAAAGAAGATTTAGAAAAATGGACTATCCAGTAAGTGTTAGTTGTTACATTTATATTACATTTTAAAAACAAATGGTTTACTTAATGAACTTTTTTTTATTACAGAGCAAAGGTCTTATATGATAGACCAACAGATAAATTCCGTCCAATAACTTTAACAGAGAAGAATGAATTTCTGCAAGAATTAGCTAAAACATATGGTATATATATACCACCTTATTCATCCACAAGATCTGGCTTTATTGTATCCAGTACTAGTTGGACTGAAGATGAAGATTTCTCAATTTTGCTAAACGCATTACAAGGTATGTATCCTAATAAGGATAGATTTGGTAATCTTACAATAATTTAAAAGTATTACATTTAATATATTTTTTTTATAGAATATGAGAACGCATGTGAAAATGGCGAGTTAAACTTGCCAGATTTGGTTTGCGTAATAACAGGTAAAGGACCGTTAAAGGAATTTTATATGGCTATCATTGATTTAAAAAAATGGAAACATGTTGAAATAAAGATGCCATGGCTCAAGAATGAGGAATACCCTAAAATATTAGGTATGATATGTCCATATTTCTGCGTATTGTTGCTAATATTAAAAATGAAATTTATTTTCTTATTAATATTTTATTAAAAATTTTTCTTTGCTATTTGATAACTTTATCTATGTCAGTATAAGTTTTAATGTATGTGAACATTTTTTATTGTAGAATTTTTTAATCATAGTGACTTCAGACAAAGTTAATATAATACAATCATTTTTTATAAAATATTTTTATAGAATACTTTAAATACTTTTTATTTTTAAAATAGCTAGTGCAGACTTAGGTGTGTGTCTTCACACCTCATCCAGTGGACTGGATTTACCAATGAAAGTCGTCGACATGTTTGGCTGCCGTTTACCAGTTTGTGCATACAATTTTAATTGGTATTGTATTAGTATTATCCCTCTAACTTTTGTACTTTTTCCTCCTTGCTCTCCATACACCGATATGATCTTCATCCTTTCCTTGTTTATTATTAATTCCGCGAGCATACTATGCCTTCTTTCTCTTTTTGTATAAACTTTTCTTCAAATTTACTCTAACCTTTCCTTTTTCCTATTATAAAACCATTTCTAGTCCTCTCCTCCTACTTTCTTATTGTAATACGATTAATGTAACATTACTATAAATATCCAGTAGATCTGCTTACTAAGAGAAAGAATGCGTCTTATTGTTTAGCTTATCGGAGTTAGTAAAGCACAACGAGAATAGTTTGGTATTCGTGGACGAAAAGGAACTGGCTGAACAATTGAAGATGTGGTTTCAAGATTTCCCTAATAACAAGACACAACAACAATTACGTGAAAAATTTCAAGAGAACATGTTTACATCTCAACAGAATTGTAATGATTGGCACAGTAACTGGAAGCTCAATGTATTGCCTTATTTTCAAAAGTGATTTTGATTGTATTGTTCCATTGTATTTCCATAAACTGGGAGTGATATTTATTATATTAGTCTGTAAGAATATTTTATTGTTTTATAATGTATAATAAATACAAGATTTTAATTTGTAAAAATATGGACCATTAATGTTACAAAGTTATAGTTGATGATTTTCTTGGTGTCATACTCATTATTGTATGTTTGATATCTTTAAGTTTCTCAGAGAAATAAGAAGATCCAATCTTGATCGCAACAACACTTATATCGGTAGATACATAACATGCTTGACCAAGTTGCTCCTTCTTACATACATAAACGTAAGGTATTTCTTTTGTTTCCGCTAACTTTGTCAAACGTGCGAGAAAGTCCAATGGTGCCATCAAATGCGTTGCATTTTCGGCAAGTATAATAAATTCCACTAAATTTCGTTCCAACGAGCTTATCACGTCTGTCAATCCGATGAATAACATGTTTCTCTCCGCAAAATACATTTGTCGAATCAATGTTAGTAATTCGTTACATAATTTCTTCGTTACAGTGAGGTCAGCAATACATTTACATTCTTCAGACTACGCCAAAATGAATAAGAATTAGTGTGAACACTTAAACTGAAAGCACAGAAGTGCTATTTTTTCATAACGCTGGATAAAATATAAGAGAATCAACTAATCAAAGTTCTTCATTTCATATTATTTGGTTGATTCTCTTATACCTTATACAAAAGTCTTTGTTCCCACCACCTTTACGGTGTGATTCACTTGACGTTGCAACTTATTGACTTAAAAGAAAAAAATTTTACAAATTGATCAATCAGACAATGCTTCAAAGCATTTGTAGTGTTGTGTTGATCACACTCTTAAATGATATGATAATTGCTTGTCCTAAATTAATATATTGATATAAACTTTTAAAAGACTTGGATAAATTAGCTGTACATCGAGGAGTAAAAATGAGGTCCTATTTTGGAATAAATGGATGTAGACAAGTGCGTTATCTGCATAATAGATGGGATGACTTATCTGTACAGCTATCTATTCCAAAAAAGGATCTCATTTTTTGTTTCTTATTATACCTACAATTTAATGATTCAATCGTTTAGTTATTTTTAAAGTTTCCTTTTTGTAATATGTCTATGTAGAAAACACAAACTTGTTTTGTTTGGATTTTTTATTAATGCTTTACGCTTATCTTGTATACAAAAAAAATTCCGTAAAAGAGACTGAATATTTTTTAAATATAAATACAGCACAGTGAAACTGTTTCGTGCATGTCAAATATTGGATGCGTTCAGCGAACACGTCGACTGAGTGAGCGTTCAATAATTATTGCCTGTGATTGGAGTAAACCTTTAGATGCATGATAAATCTAGAAGATATATATGATAGCAATAAGCACTCATTCAAACTATTCGCTAAACGCATCAATTTGTAGTAGCAATAAAGATTTACATTATGTGTTACTAATAATGAGGTATTAAAAATAACAAATAGATTTCATTTAGATTAAAAGCCTCTCAATTTCTTGTTGTATGGCTTTAATTTGTGGTTTTAATTGCGAGCCTTCATTGACCAATACTGAACAAGCTACCACTGGTCTTGAAACGCCACAAGCTCGTCCCAAGGCCTGCTTGCTTCGCACAAAAACATAGGGTACATTCTTGTCTTCACACAATAATGGCAAGTGAAGCAGAATCTCCAGTGGTTGGGTATCCGCAGCCATCACTATAAACTCAGACAGGCCACGATTCAAGGACTTTGTAGCTTCATTTGCTCCCTTCTTCAGTTGACCGTAGCTCAATGCTTGTTGTACCAAATTCAATATCTTTATGGTCAGCGATGCATCCGCCAGCGGATACGCCTTTGGTGATACTTCATCCATCTGGAAAAGAAATCCAAAAATCAATGACATATTTGGAGCATCTTGATAAAGAGAAAAGTTTGCTAATTTGTCTCACTGATGTGCGTGGATGTATACGAACTTTTTTCAGGATGACACTAAGGTCAGGTTGCACCAACGTTACTTTAATTTTAAGCAAGACTTAAAAGTACTCTCTTTGTCACTGTCTCTTTTTGGCTTTAAAACCGAGACAGAGAGAGTATTAAGTATCGCTTAAAGTCAAAGTAACGTTGGTGCAACCGGGTCTAAGGCTGACATTGGACTTGTGTAATAGAAGCCTATACAGCTAATATTATACAGAGATACTTTCTAGAAATTGCGTAACACAGTGAATCATTTCATCTTTGTTTAGCATTGGCAAACAACAAAGATCCAATGGTTCACTGTGCCTTACTGAAAAATGTCTTCAAATATACAAACACTCGCGATACATCCACGTGGAAAAACTAACCACAAACAACAGTTGTGCGTGTCGCGATCGAAGCGACAAATATTGTGACACTACTCACCGTATAATCGCCAATCGAGTTTTCTCTGTTCTTTTTTATTTTTCTTTACGATTGCGTATTACTTTCAAAGCACAGTATTGCACTTTACTTTTTCTTTCGACTCTTTTTAGATTTCATAAGCTTTCTCCGAACAAAGTCTGTCCTTTAAAAGTATATATATATAGTACTTTGACCGTTCTTTCTATCGCACTTTTCTCTTAAATAGTCAACGACTTCGATTATATCCAAGTTCCGCGATTTTATTGTATATTGTATACTTTTAACGAAAATTCACAATCACGCACTGCCACGCGGGTCTCAAAACGGAGGATCGCGAAGGACGCAGTAGGACGCAGAGGATGCCGATGACCGGCAACGGAAAGTACGAACGTCCACGTGATCTGGTGTAAAATGCATGAACTAAGCTAAACTAATAGCGTTTTCACTGGCAGAGCTGGTGCGCACTCAGTGCACTTTAAAGCCATCGTACACAAATTGATATAAAGATGTACGTTTAATAAAAATATAGAAACGAATTAAATCGCGAAATCCTCAATACATTTTATTGTGGTATTTGATAAAATATACATTGGGTATTTTATTAATTGAGATATCTCACTTTTACATTCAGATTAGGTTAGTGTGCAACAGCTTTAATGTGCAATTGTGTACTGAGTGCGCACAAGTTCTGCCAGTGAAAAACGCTATACTTACCCTGGATCTACAATAGGTGTTTTAAGCTTTAAGTCGTAAGAAACTGACCAATTATAGTCGAATTCGAGAAGACTAATCGATTATAATTCGTCGTAAGGCTAAAAACTCTATTGTAGATCCGGGGCTAATCTCAAGTAATGTCTCAAGATGCGAATACGACTCTCTTGATTGGTTCATGCACTAGCTTAAGACCATCTCGAATCTTGAGCACAGTCTATGGATTCCGCCTAAATCTTGAAAATTAACAAATTAGATAATATTGCGCGCGTTATTTAAAATTTCCAGAATTACGATTCTAGGAGAATTCGAGATTTTAAATCACGAAAATCAGTTAGAATAGACAAGTTTTTAAATTCAGCGATTTTGATCAACATCGCATGCACAAATGCACACACAACTTTACTCTATGAAAGCTGTCATATTTGGGCATAATGCGGTCAATCAGTTAATGAATTAAAAAAAAACTTACCATAATCAGTAAGGAGGTCGCAGTATATAAAATTCCAAGAATTTTTCAAAATTCTAAGAACTACGATTCCAGGATTTTAATTATGACAATCAAGTGTTTCAAAAATCGATATTCTTATTAATGCGTATACGTTTCTGTGAAATTTTCTTTAATTTCGTTTAATTATGTCACTGTGATACTGAATTAATAAAAAATATTAAAATTCTAAATCTTATTTGTATAAATATTTTTATAGGTTAATTATTACAATTACTTGCATTCTTTTCAATCGTGTGACAAAAAGAACACATGTGCTTTTATCAGAAGGAAAATGTTCTCTATTTTTTTATTTACTATGTGTTAGAATGATGAATCTAAATATAAGGTATTACTTTTATAGGAAACTTACAGAAAGACATTAAATTTAAATTTTAGAATTCATGAAAACAGCGAGTTTACTTAAAAAAAATGAATCCCGTATTTTTTGTCAGCGTTTTGTCATTCACATCATTTTAATGGAATATATATTAATAAATGTCTGGTTGGATTATGATGTACCCTAATTTGCTCCTTATTTCATCTTTTAATCGTTCTTATATTACATGTTTCTTGTGTGCAATAGTAATATAAGAAAGAAAAAAGAATAGGACAGAGAGACGTAATAAAATTACTTCGATTTTTAAAACTAATTTTCTTTATTCACGCTGCCATTTTATCCGCATTCTTATTGTATCCAATATGATTTAAATTTTTCAAACTCTCATCAGCCACTCTCTGCTTATCTCTAACTACATACTAAAAACAATTTCATGTACAAAAATAATAACAACAATAAGAGATAATAAACAACAAAGATTCAATAACATATAATTCATATTCACATAGAAAGTAATAAAAACTTGTCTATTTATATATATGGATCATATGCAAAAAATACTAATTCTGATGGTCCTGCATATTTCATGTTTATACATATCAAAAGGCATTCCTACATTTCGGTACTTTGCTACATAAAATATTTTCAGTTCAAAATATCGTTATCAGAATTACGGATATGCAATATACGTGTGTTATAATATAGAACAATTGTTATATCATGTGATAAACTGTCGGTAATATCCGAAATAGAATATGTATGTGTATTATTCAGAATTCTATGACTTTACATATAAAAAGTCTTCTTAAAGTATGTATTACAACTTTAAGTGAGCTTAATCTCGATATCTTCTAACAATTTTCTATTTTTCAATGTAATATTTCTAAAGGTTAAACAAAAATTGTTTCCAAAGTGTTCATTCGATAGTTTGATTACCGAAATATTTTAACCGTTAAAAACGAGACCTTTATTTGAAGCCTCATTGTTCCGATTATGTATTTTTTTCCCTCGATCATTATTGACGTTTTTTTTTTTTTAAGCAATTTCCTTCGATTTGTTTTACATAATATACATCTTCAAGTATTTACTTTCACTTATCCAATTATAAAACAATTAATATCATACGCACTGTTGTAAATAAATAATGAAAAATAATGAAATAATTAAACTTGATGTTAGGTTTATCAATGCATTGTGATCGTAATTATAATATTATCCTGTAGCAATTCGTAATAATTTTTTATGTTAAGTATCGAAAGTTGTATACGCGATTCGGCGTCTCTAGCAGCAATGTAGCGATATAAATCTCGCAACAATGTTCTTTATATTATACTTCGTAATGTTCAATGCGTTAATAATGGCGTAACTTCTTGTGCCTCTTTGACTCGTGAACATCGGTTGCTTAACAGTATCACAACATGGATCTTCAAACATGTAATACAGCGACATTTGGAGAACTCTACGATACATTGGATAAATATATAAGTTATATGGCGCATATAATAGTATATTGTACATATTTTCTCCATGGAAACATTAAGAAAGGAAGTGTAAGTAAAAAGGCACTATTTCCGGGTATGGGAAAGAATCAGTTTCTTTAGGCCTTCCTAACTTCTATCAAGTCCCACCACGACATCACAGACCTCGCATTAACAGAAGTTACGCCGCTGTGAATATGTCACCCTCATTTCATTATACTTGCATACTTGTAAAGTCTTAATCTATTATTCATTCATCATAGAACATACCAAAATACTTTAATGGAGTAAATTATAAATATAGCCACTCTTAAATTCAATATGTTCAAGCATACCCAACAAATACACTGGAAGCATAAACTTATTGATTAGTTGCTTTATAAACTAGAATGGAATTTATCATACGCTACAAAACGATGGAATTTTCTCTTATTATCGCATACGGTTGACTAGCCACTGGGAAAATTATTAATTGGCAAGAGAAAGTTCAATTTTTTCTACGCACAGTTTCAATATGCACATTATTTAGTCACAATGAATATCAGCTTGCTGTAATTGCATTATGTAAAAACACCGGTGTTACGTTATATTGACTGTCGAGGATGACATCGATTTAACAATCATTTCATTAAACGGGTGTTTCGTGATCAGTCTCTTCGATTCTTCCCAATCTCCAAGCATTCGGATCTCCTGCCGCTGTAAATCGAGAACAACTCTTAAAATAATTTTTAATCATAATATGAAAAGATACAAATAAACAAATTTAAAAATAAACATTTAAATTATCATGTACTATATATTATAATTATATTTTCTCATTTATAAGAAAGTTGTAGAGATAGTACAGATATTAGAAGCAAATACATTATATGTTTTTATAATATTTTCAAATCAATTATAAATGTGAAAGAAGATAAGAATTACACAAGTAAATATACATTATTCTCCTTTTAATTATTATTATCAATTTTCAAGATTAAACATGTTTTTGAAAATGAGTGTGCTTGACGTATCTTGTTTATGGGTACTACTTTACGTGTATTTGGATTTATCATGTACAAGAATTTTCGAAAACATAAAGAAACTCACCTCTTGATACAATATCCAAGAAGAACAATTAATGGAATTACTCTGCGACATTTGTGTAATATATATGCATCCATTGCAGGAACATACATGTACATCACATACGATTTTTGTGCTAGAGTGTTGTACGATCGGTAGGCAAGGATATTACAGCGAAGTCTGAACGTTGTTCGATATAGGGTGTGGGAGAAATGTACAGGGTGGTACACGTAGGTAGTTCGTATGGTGAAGGGTATTATTCAATACTTCTTGATTCGTGTACAGCAGCGGCATTCTCTCTTCTATTTCCAAAGCAAAATTAAAGTTGATGCAAAATCATAAAAAAGGTGTATATAAATGAATACAAAGATCTACATGTTACTATATCTTGACAAATATAACAAGACGTTACACGACACACACACACACACACACACACACACACACACATAAGTATCGAAATTACATTACTTTAAAATAAAAAACATAATGGTATATTTTAAAGATGTAAAATCATTATATGTAAGTGTATATGTGCACACTATGTAAATGGCTATTATTTGTATAAAATATTCATAAAAATTTTAACATGACAAGTTATAAAATACATATATAATGAACAAAATTATATTTACTACGAGATTATAGTACCATGAAAATGTTAAAAATGTAAGAGTAATATTACAAAAGTGAAAAAACTGGATACATATAAAACATGCGCATGCTTGATTAATGTAGAAAATGTGCATTTTGCTAATTATACATAGAAAGAGATTGACAAAAATTTATAAAAAATAAACAAGATACAGATAGTCTCTTTTGTTTTAAGAAGAAATTGTGTCTCAATATTAAAATATACCAATAAAAATTAAAATATAAAAAACCAATCTTATACACATTTTTAGTTGAATTCTTTAATATTAGCAAAAATAAAAATTGCAGAAAAAAATTTATACATACCTTGAAGTTGACGACTGATGAGAGCAGTAATCCCTTGGCTATCACCAGTCTTTTTTACAACAAAAAGTTTTGTATCAGGATCATTTTCTAAGGCTCCAATACCCAGACCAATTATCTGTCCATTCTGCTGCTGATGACTACTAGCAGCCATCGTTTCACTCACCTATTACAAATAAATATGATAAGACACACACATATTGAAATTTTATTAAGCTTCAACAGTTAACAATTCTATAACTTAACAAACCATAATAAACATTCGATATTATCGTGATTTTTAAAAAAGAATGTACCTGCATCAATTTTTTAACTACATCTCTGCCCAAAATGTGATCAAACACTG